TGATTGCGGAAATTTACATATAAGGCGCAAAATCAGCTATACATAGAAGCGTACATAGCCAAGTAACGGGCTGTTATTCCCTCGTTTGCTTTGCGCTCATCTTCCCGCTGGAGCCGAATTTCGGGCATTTCGTCTGCTGTTGTTGTTGTAGCCATGCCTACGGGAACTTTTGGAGATGTTACCGCTGATGCAAACAGGGCAATATTTTTAAAGCGCAAGGCAACGGCTTTATTTAATAGAGTGGAGCGCTTAGTGGATTCCCTATCAAGTGCGGCGTTAACTTCATGCGACGAATCCGGTCTTCATGTGAGGTTAGAGTTGATTGATGAGCTTCAAGAGTCATTTAAAAAGGTGCTCGGTGAGCTCGAAGAGTTGGATTTAGAGGAAATTGAAAGTGATTTAAGTGAGAAATTTGATGACATTCTCGTAACTCTGAAGTCATCGGTTCGATCCGAAATTTCAAAGCGCACCTCACAGCTTCTTTCGCATTCAACTTTTGCTGACGGCATCACTCCGGGAGTTTTCGGCCCCCAGCAGCGTCAGCCTCGACATAGGGCAGCATTGCTGCCCCCACTGGAGCTTCCAAAATTCGCTGGAGGTTATGCAAATTGGTCTGACTTTTATTCTATGTTTACCACGATCATAGATAGTCATCCGGACCTCACCAACGTAGAAAAGCTGCAGCATCTACGATCATGCCTGAGGGACGCAGCGTTGGAAACTATTCGCTCATTGGAAATTTCGGATGGCAACTACGCAATTGCTTTAGATTTGCTGAAAAATAGATTTGATAATCGACGTTTGGTTTTTCAGGCACACATTATTGAGATCCTGGGACTAAAGGCGGTGCAGAGTGGTTCCGTCTCGACACTTCGGGATCTGTCCGATAAATTCAATGCTCACATTCGTGCTCTCAAGGGACTGGGCACGACAGAACAAATCGCAGGATGCATCATCGTCCAAGTCCTGTTCCAAAGGTTGGATCCGGCAAGTCAGGCAAAGTGGGAAGAGCGTTTAGAGGACCCTGCCTTCGTCAATTTAATTCCTACGTGGGAGTCAATGGCATCATTTCTGGAGCAGCGATGCAGGACGTTGGAGACTATGGATTTCGCCATGGCAAACTATACGCCGGGCAATCAGGTGGGAAGTAACAGAATACCCAATGCGCGTAGATCAGCATTTGTTGCCTCGAACGCTAACCCCTGGATTTGTATATTCTGTAATGATACAGGGCATTCCATTTCTTATTGTCAGAATTTTAAAATCCTGTCTCCTGCGAATAGGTTTCAAGAAGCGAAGCGGCTCGGTCTTTGCATAAATTGTCTTAAGGTTGGTCATCAAGTTCGGCAATGCAACTCTAGTAGTTGTCGTTCATGCGGATCTAAGCACCACACCCTGCTTCACCTGGGAAACTCACCTTCCTTTCCTTCACAAGAAGGAGCACAGCTTCAAGAAGCACTTCCTTCTGCTTCACCCTCTGCACTGCCTTCCACTTCGACTGCTCTTATTGCACAGGAATTTAGTAATGATATTGTGCTCTTAGCAACGGCTAGCATTTTAGTAAAAAACCGTTCTGGGGTTTTCGTTCCCTGTCGAGCTCTACTCGATTCGGGCTCCCAACTGCATCTAATAACGTCCCGATTCGCAAATCAGCTTCAAGTAAAGAAAGTAAAATCCTCAGCATCTGTAACTGGTGTTGGAGATTCCAGTTTTGTGACGGACGGTCACTCGGTCAATATTACGATTCAGTCCCGAACTTCCGAATACTCGGCCAACATTACCGCGGTGATTGCTCCGAACATAACAGAGCGACAGCCTAGCTTCAACGTCGACATTGGCAGCTGGAACATACCCAAAAATATACAGTTAGCTGACCCAAGGTTTTATGCTCCCCAGCGGGTGGATCTTTTAATCGGAGCCAGCCTCTTTTTCGAGATGTTGTGCGTTGGCCAAATCAAGCTCCCACCTGGATTACCCCTAATTCAAAAGACGCGTCTGGGTTGGGTTGTTTCTGGAGGCTATGGCCTTTCCGATGGCTCGGTTTTAATGTCGTCTCAAGATGAACTTCTCGCTAGTAGAGAGAATAGTTTCGATCGGTTAGATGATCTTCTTCGACGATTTTGGGAAGTGGAAAGCTGCGCCGAGCCAATTATACGCGCTACTAAGGAAGAATTGGACTGTGAAGCACATTTCGTAAGACACGTCAATCGTTTGCCAGCTGGTGATTATTCTGTTCGGCTGCCTGCCAAGTTTAATCTAGATCTTTTGGGAGAGTCCTTCCAGCAAGCTTATCGAAGATTTTTGTCCCTAGAGAGAAAGTTGAATCGTCAGCCATCTTTGAAGGCTCAATATGCAGCATTCATAAAAGAATATCTCGATCTAGGACATATGTCATCAGTTTCTGCCGCTGACATCGGGTTGTGCCGATATTTCTTGCCTCATCATTGCGTCATAAAGGAAGATAGCTCCACTACAAAGCTTCGCGTAGTTTTTGATGGATCGGCGGCCAGTTCCTCAGGCTATTCGCTCAACGAGTCTCCTCTCTGGACTCATGGACCAAAATTCCTCTGTGGTCCCAAAGCTGACTGGCCGACCCCAATCACTGCTGAAAAGCCAACGCTTGAGGTTCGCCGGAGGATTCTACTAACAAAATCTCCATACGAAGACATAGTGGCCAGTTCAAAATTTGCCAATTCCTTTGCGGCCCTTCAAAGAATTTTCGGATACGTTTATAAGTTTAGTAATCGCATCCGGCGCCCTACGCTCACGGTGTCTGACCTTCAAGGCGGTACTCTGCTGTTGCTTCGTCTTGTCCAGCGCTCACATTTATGGGATGACATCAAATCATTGCAGTCAAAGGGAATGGTGCACTCCTCCAGCTCGCTCGCATCTCTTTCGCCATTCATTGACCAATTTGGGCTTCTTAGAGTGGATGGCCGGCTGAGGAATTCTTCTCTGGATTTTAATGGGCGTCATCCAATTATATTACCACGGAGTCATTCGGTCACTATTGCCATTATTACTCACTTTCATGAACGCAATCTGCACACTGGGCCACGGGCATTACTTGGCATAATTCGATCCCAATATTGGCCTATTGGGGGGAGAAAGACGGTAATGAAGGCGGTAAACAAATGCATTAGATGCTTTCGAATGAAGCCTCGAGTAGTGGAGCATATAATGGCGGATCTTCCAAAGGAACGACTTGATGGATCTCATGCATTCGAAGTCACTGGCATTGACTTTTGCGGGCCATTTCTCTACAAGTCAGAGGTGCGAAGCAAGCCTCCAGTAAAATGCTACGTTCGTGTCTTCATTTGCTTCGCCACAAAGGCTATTCATCTGGAGTTGGTCAAGGATCTCTCTACGGTATCTTTTCTACATGGCCTCAAACGATTTATATGCACTAGAAGAAGGCCGCGGCAGATTTGGTCTGATAATGCAACCAATTTTGTTGGAGCTCGCAATGAGCTGCTCGAACTAAGGCGTCTTTTCCTCAGCAGTGATCATCAGAGAGCTACATTGGATTTTTCCCTAGCTGAGGCTATTGATTGGTGTTTCATTCCTCCTAGGTCGCCACACTTTGGCGGTCTTTGGGAAGCGGCTGTGAAGATCGCCAAGCATCATTTCTACCGCGCTGTTGGCACTGCTGTTTTAGCCTTTGAGGAGTTGCGGACCCTGGTGTGTCACATTTCGGCGGTTGTTAATTCTCGACCATTAGTCTCGATTTCAGAAAACCCAGCTGATCTGGATGTATTAACCCCAGCACATTTTTTGAATGGTGGTCCGCCTTCTTCTTTCGTCGAGCCGGATGTGACCAGTCTTAACTTCAATCGCTTGGATGGATGGCAACGCGTGGCATACTTGCAGCAGATCTTTTGGTCCCGATGGAAGGAAGAATACCTAACATTGCTACAACAGCGCTCCAAGTGGCGCACCCCAAAACCTGGCCTGGTTGTCGATGACTTAGTTCTGGTTAAGGACGAAAACTTGCCTCCCATGAAGTGGACCCTCGCCAAAGTGATCGAGCTTCTCTTCGGTGGAGATGGGGTTGCTCGAGTTGCCGTTCTGAAGACAGCATCAGGAGTGACAAAGCGAGCAGTAAACAAGCTGTGTCTGCTACCCCTTAAGGATGATGTTGAAACCCAGGCTTCCAACGGGGGGAGTATGTCGGGTCACGCAGCCGCAGCAGCCAACTAACTTCTTAATTCGATCTCTTATATTAATGGCATCGCGAAAGGTAGCTCTCTTTATCTAGCTCTCTCGTCTTTTGTGTATTTGCATTTTTCGGCCCAGCTTTCGGCTGGCTGTCCGTTTGTAAAATCAGTACGAATTCTGATCTCGACATAAAACGCATTTTCGTCTCGCATGCTGTAATCTTTTTCGCTAATAAATTGTTAACAAGCATAAAGCTAAAGCAACCTGAAATTCGTATTTTTTAATTTAGCAATAACTAATAAAAAAGCTTATTAGTTCAACACATACATAATTACATAATTTAAATAAATAAAAATGTGTACAAATGAACGGCTTATTAGAAAGCTTGTGTACATGAGAATGGCTTTTTTAACAAGACTGTTTTAAAATATGTGTGTTTTGAATATTTTGAAGATGCTAAAACCTTTTTTATTGTAAAATATTTAGCTATGAACATTTCTTTAAACTTGCCTACTGGGTCGTAGTCATAAAAGCAATTAAATATTCAAGTATTGTTGTCATAAATATACGTATGGATTGAGCTTAAATATTAAATTCAAATTAAATTAGGGAATTCAAATATGTAAATATACTCGATCTACTTTAAACACCTGTTCAACTTACAACTTAAAGGCTATCCTTACTTAAATTAATTGGGATAAATAGAGCGTCCTTTACAAATCCATTATGCTCAAAGTTAATTTTTTGTTATATAAGTTGATTGTTTGGGCGCAGCTGTCGCTTTTTGTGTAGCTTTATCCTGGTTAAACTGACAAGTTGTCTTCCCTGGTTTGCTTCCACAGACTACAGCCACGTGAAGGCGCAGCGAATCCTCAACTCGGAACTGGCGGACACCCTGGGCAATCTGCTATCACGTGCCTGCGCCAAGTCGTTGAATCCCGGCCAAATCTATCCATCAGCCAACGCCGAGCACTTGGCGGATCTCCTCCGGAGCCTGGATGCGGCCAAACGCCTGCAGGATACGCTTCTGCAGCTGTCAGGTGAGTGGATTGGAATGGAAAGTGGAGTGCAGGGAGTAGAGAAAGTGCAGGGAGTGGAGTGGAGTGCTGCTTTGTCATTTTAATATTTAAGCAGCCAGGCTCTAGCTGAAGAGGCGCCATCTCGAGATAGAGATATTCGTAGAGATGGTTTATAATCTGCATTTGCGTTTGCATCCGCATCCGCATCTGCCCGAAGCACTTCCGGCCAATCTCCGAGCGGCAAGTGCACTCGAGAGTGTGGCCAAGCCAGCGAGCTTATGGCTTTAAGTGCGCCAAGTGAAGCCATCATTTTCTATATTGTATTTTGTGCACTTAAAGAAAATTGCAATTAAAAGTGGTATAGAAGTGCCAAAAGTTTATGAGGACTTCAACAAAAATTAAATTTTAATTTTAAAAAACAAACTTTTAACATGGCTTGCATTTTTTGAAGTAACCTAAAAATATATTTGCATTTAACTACCTATTTTGAAAGACCACGTAAAAAGCTGACTTGATATGTAGTTTTTTTTTGGGTTAGAGCCACAAAAGTCTGAGTTGAACATTTATGGATATTTTGATTTTTAATTTCAAAGCCCTTTCTATTTTATATTTCTATTAAATAGAGTTTTAGTTCTACTTTTAGGACACCCATACAGTTTAAAATAATGATAAATATTACCCATGATTTAAACACCTTCTTGGTAAGCCAAAAAAGGGTTTTAAACTGAGACAAAGTACGAATTTTAATTTAATGTTTCAAACCTTTATTAGCTACTAGATTTTTTTCGAAAATTCTTTTTAAGTGCCTTGAATGTTTCGTATTTTGCAGAGCGATGCGCGTCGCATTACGAGTGCAATCACTTCCATTTGGTGGCCGACACTGCGATGGCGGCTCTGCATGCGGCCAACAACTTCTTCGAGAGCTCCAAACCCTGGACGCTGAAGGCGGGCGCACCGGATGCCAACCCGCCCCGTTTGGAGACCATAATCGCCATGACAATGGACGCTCTGCGGCTCTGCGGCATTGTGCTGCAGCCCATAATTCCCCAGCTGGCCACGCGGCTGCTCGATAAGCTGAGCATACCCACCGCACAACGTGGCTGGAATCACTTGGCCCACAGTTTTGCCACCAGCGCCGCGAATCTCGGCGGGAGCCGTCAATTGGATGGGCAAACCAGTGCCCTGCTCTTCCAGCGGATTCTCGAGGAGAAGGCTGTCAAGGAGCAGGATGAGAAGGAGCAGCCGAAGCCGCAGCCAGCCAAGCGGAGCAAATTGAAGAAGAAGGAGCGCCGCGAAACAATGTCCTGAAGTAGTCGTAATAAACTGATTCCAAAGCCAAGCCACCGGCGACATTTATTCATTGCGAGGGCCCAATAGCACTGAGCTGCTATAAATCAGCTTTTTATATAATTTAACTTCTGAAATTTATATACCAAACAAAATATCTTCATGTTTGTTCTGCCTAGATCGGAAAATATCTTCTAAGATGTGTCAAAGATTCAAAGAATTCTCTTTTGTATGCATTTTGTAAAGGAATATAACGAAAGACTAGCCTCTATATGTTTAAAAAAATATTGTATTTTGTGTTAAGCAATTCAGTTTGTTATATTTTGGGCAACAGCCTTTGTAAACCAGTGCAGGCAATCGAAAACGAAGGGCTCCCACTTCGAGTCTCATTAAAATCCACTTAATTATGTGCAGGAAGGAAAAAGCAGTGCCGTCAGCAGCATCGCTGTCTCATATTCCTTTGTAATTTATTACGCGTAATTGAAGTCAGCATCAGGTGGCAAGTATGGGACGTTATTTATGGCCTTCAATTGGCAAAAAGGTTGAGGCCAGGCCGCCAAGCCCAAACTTGAGGCCAGACTTTTATTTGTTAATTTATTTTAATTTCCACAAGCCAGCCCGAAAAAAAAACGAGGAGTAGAGAAAAGTAAGCACACCATTAAAATGCCCAACGAGCAGGGTAATCAAAATAAATGGCTATGTGGCCCTCGATTTAAGTGGGAGTGCATATGGGAGTGGTGGAGTGGTTGAGGGCCGAGTCAAGTGCAGCCATTAGAGAACATGGCTGGCTGGCCCAAAGGACTAGACAAAGCTGATTAGATTACCCGCCAGCCAAAGCCAGATCCGCTTCGTGGAAATAGTTTAATTACGATTTCCCCTCGAAGTTCGCACACGGCATCAATCAAGTCTCAAGCCCAGAAGTCGAGAATCATTGGCCAAGAGTTTGCGGTTTTCTTTAACTATCTGTTTTTCCGCTTGGTTGAAAGGAAAAGCGCAAGGAGTTGCACCTGCCTTGTAGATTTCTTGCACAAAAATGTTCTTAGAATTTTAAATCAATTGTAAAATATATTAAATTTAAAATAAATGAATTATAAAATAACACATTTTGTAAATCGTGTACTTCATTCTTAAATGTAGAATTTTGTTTAATAGTTGTCATATTTATTTATCAGCAGTCTAGTCATTTATAAATTAGGTTCCATCTTTGACTAAGAGCATAAAAGTAGATTTTTTAATGCATATTTCTTAATTATATTTAGAATTTTAAGTAATAATGGTTCCCTTACTAGTGTAAAAAAATCCAGTACCCTTTCCACCACTGATTTCTGCTGATTGCACGTAAATTGCAGACATTACCGCCGCCATCAGCTGCAGGTAAACAACAATTTAACTCCATTCTGCCGTAGACCGCCGCTTAACCCTCTACACCCACTCAATGTGGCCCAGCTTGGCAATTAGGACGCCAAAATGTGCGGGCTTTTGGGCCCAGTTAACTTGCAATTTGCAGTGCAGTTGCTGAAGTTGAGGAGATGCTGATGCTGATGTGGATGTGGATGCGGATGCGGATAGTGCTGCTGATGCGGATGTGCATGTTGATGCAGACACTTTACCATTGGCCCGAGCAGCTAAAACATGAAATATATATCGGACAGGCAGACAACCAGACACATTGAGCAATTAGTGGAAGGGCTTGCTGCATTGTCCGCTCTAAAATCTGGTAATTGGTCTGTACCTCAATTGGTATTGGAATCGGTTATGTCGATATTTGGGGTAACTCAATACCTTGCCTGCCAATTTAGGAACGAAAAGCCGCATAAATAGGAAATTGGAGCAGCTATTGTTAGAGATCATAAAATATTTGCAATACCTGACTATGGTATCTATAACCCTTTACTGAATAGTTTATATATATTATTATTAGATATTCTTTGGTGACTGGCTAGGTGTTGGCCTGTGATTTCAATAAAGCCTACATAAAACGAATTAATAGTTTGCACAGCCGCATTATAAGACAACTTAAATTATATTTAACCAACCTTCCTTTGCCGAGGCGCCTTCCCTTCAATCTGCCGTCCATAATTTAATATCCAACGGGGTGAAATTAAATTTATAGTGCAGGTAAATTAAGTTGACGTTAATAAGACAGCACAGGGATAAGGAAAAAAACACAGAGCAGAACAGAACAGGGCAGCATAAACAAGCGCATTAACATGCTTGACTTGTAAAAAGTTGTTAAGTTTGCATTTAAAATGAAATTATGCAGTCTGGGATGGGGAAGTGAGGTAATAAGGTTAATGATTCACTTTAAATGCTGCTTAAACTCGAACGCGGAACCAGAACCCAAAGTGGCTGTTGTTCCCATGGATGTTGGATGTTGGATGCTGGATGCTGCCCCCTGCTGCACTTTGATTAATTACAAAGTTGCTTTGTCGAGATTGCCGCCGTTTGCCGTCTGCCGGCCACAACTCTCCACTCGGGCAATGCATAATTTAATTTGCCTGCCAGCCACGTGGCGTATGCGCAATATTGTAAATGAATTAGCCGCGGACCAAGTTGCCACTCGTTGTAGTTAAGCGCTGTTTCGATGTTTCGATGGGGGAGCTCAAAGACATCGAAATTAATTTGCTTTTGGTTGCCCCTGAAGTCCCTCTTGGATTCCGATTCAAAACTTTTCCCAAAGACCACATGCACATATACTTACTATAGAATTTTGATTAATTACTATCAAGTAGTTTTAAAACTGAACTTAAACTCTAATAAGATCATTACAAATTATATTAGTTGATAAAAACATATTAAGACACAAGATATAACACTTATAATATATAAATATTTCCCAAAAAAGAAGGGTTCCAATTTACGAGTATAATACAAGCAAATATTCGGTAATACATACGATCTAAAAATATATACTTTTTTAAAGGCATGAATCATGGGCGATAAGAAAAATGGCATCAATAATTATTCAGTTCCATCCTGCTTTGGCGATAAGCAAATCTTTGGGGAATTCTGAAAAATAATATAAATGATTACAAGGTCGGGGTTAATGTGCCATTTCACCTACAAGTATAGTGGGTACCAATAAATTAAATAAATAATTTGGAAAATAAATCCATCTTCTTGTATTGTCACTTAGAAAAAATTTTTAACATTATAAAGCACTTAACATAAACTTATACCCATTTTATGTTCATTTAGGCACATTTTTAGGACATGTTTAGTTACTTTTAGTCCATTATTCAGTAAACTAAAGTCAAGCTCTTTTTTATGGTTGCTGTACTACCATATTAAGTAAATTTAAATCCCCATATTTTTCATTAATAACTCAGGTAGCCTAAATCCAAGTTAGTTGCCCAATACCAAAGCAGCTTACACAATGCATCAAAGTTGGTTAATTGGATTTTCCGATGGTGCATCTATCGAGAACACTTTAGCTTTCAAATATGCAAATACCACAATGGCTTTCATCCGATAAATGCAATAATGATGGCAAATGTGCGAATGCCGCTTAACTAATTCATTAGGCCAACGCAAAAGTGTTTAATGAATCGTTGCCAGGGCCGCAATGCAAAAACAGTTGTTGTAATTCAGCAATTAAAGCAATTAAATGTGGAAATTAAATCGAGCGTATTGGGCATTTAATTAGAGCAGATTTATGCGGCAAATGGCAACACAGCTTGCTAAGTAGTTTCCACAGACTGGGCATAGATTTGGGTAACTCGACATCATTTGTAATTAAATTGCATTACAAAATCCTCGATGCGGAGTCCTTAATCCTTGGAAACCAACTACAATTGAGTGCCAAGTAACTATGCGAGTCGTTATCCCTTTTAATGAATTTTTTGCTGGACCCGTTCGGCCTTCGCTTTTCATTTTGCCGGGCTGCAAAGTTTATTTTCACCCCCCTTTAACCCCTTAACCCCCCCCCCCCCAATTTTACGTTTTCAGCAACCTTTTTGCGCCAAAGTAAATATTTTACTATGCCACTATTTAAAGCATACTTTCTGGCTGCTGTCGGCGCAGCTGGAAAACCACAGCTGGAAAACCTGCGGCGAAGGAAAATGCTGCTGAAGCAACAGCCCGGCAGCCATTTTATTTTTGCAATATTTTCCAGGTCAAAATGTCGTAGAACTTTTATTAACTTGATGCCCAAAACCCTCAGCATGTCTATATATATATCTGTGTGTTGTTTGCCAGGACGTGTTTGTGTCTCGTCCTTGTGTTTGTGTCTAAACATTAAAAGTGGCTTAGTGCTGTCGGTTGTGTGTGTGTGGGCGTAAGTGTTTGGGTCTCATGTTGATAACTTATATTGGGGATGTCAACAACCGAATGCGCTTCGAGTGGATTTTGCATCGCAGTCAATGACCATGGCTCGTTATCCTTGCCAGGACTCCAGAGGCTAGTCGTTTGCTTGGTTTTATGACCTGGAAAGAGGCCACTCAAATTGACCAAAGAGCCGCAAGCTTATTTTAAAGTTTAACAACACACATAAAGTCTCGAATTTTTGGAAGGCAAGTCTTGAAAGAAGTTTGATAAGTAGGACAAATTAATTTGCTGCACTTTTTGCATGACAATGCAAGATTTATGAACAACAGCCGCACACAAAGGGCCGGGCGAAAAAATGAAAAATGTAATTTCAATGAAGACAAAGGCGACGACAGACAACAGATGAGAGCTGGAAAATGAAATTCACCTTCGGAAAATACCTGTGCTTGGCTGGCTGGGGGCTTTTGTGTCTATCGGCCTGTTCTCAATTTTAATTTCGCGATTTTTGTTCGTCAAATCGATAGGAGATGTTTTTTCTAAAAAAAACTTTACAACGAAAATGAGCTCACAGAGAAAATTCTGACGTTCTCATCTGAGTTAAAAATGTTCTTAAAAATAAAACGACATTTTTAAGTTGAAAATGTTTTAATTTAAAATTGGCGGTACTTAAGTACATTGTATGTAAAAATAAACTATTAGTTCAGTCGTTAGTTGTTAAAAAGTCAAAAAGTTGTTAAATAAACTCAATTTAACTTTTCTCTTCTCACCATTTCGTTCTTATATTGATACCAAAATGTACTTACACGGTTTTTAAGAACGAATGTTCTCAATTCAAGAACAATGTTCTTAGATAGTTTTCCTTATTTTATTTTAGAAACTAGAAGCAAATAGAAATTTTTCTATATATTAAAAAGGAGCTACTTCTAAAGTAAATAAGTAACCTAACTTGATCAAAATCTCAAAAACATTAAACTTTTTTTGTATATTTGTACAACAGCTCATATATTTGTATAAAACCAGAAATTCTGTGGGATTTCCAAACAAATTTTATGAGATATACTTTTGTTATGTACTTTTTTCTAGAGTATTCTTGTTTTAATCTGTTTTTTAGTGATAAGGATTTCGTGGAATGTACTAAACGCAAAGCTTTCCCAGCAGTCTCTGTTCGGACATTATCATCATCGGTCTGGAAATGTCTAGCACTGTGCTGGTCCTACTGTTTCTTTGGCTGAGCTCAGCTCTGGGTTTACTGGTGCCCCAACATTATTGCGACAATCACTTCAGATACGCCTCGAATGACGGTAACCGCACCTATATTGGCGTTTTCACAGCGCCCGAAACGCGATCACGAAGTTTAAATATAAATTTAAACTGGCAGGTGACATTCGAAATGCAAGGAAGACGCAACGTAAGTGACTATTCAGATCGGTTATCCTACAATTTCCATACCTATATTTTCACAGATGTTTGTAAGCCCTCTTACCACTTATCCCAGCAGTGAAGAGGCGGCCGTTAATATTAAGAACGGAGAGCCGCCACAGGTTTGGGTACACTTCGTCAATATTACCAATGAGCTGCCCAAGCTGACCTCTTTGAATCTCAACGGACAGGAGCTGTGCCACAGTGCTCCATGTGAGTTAAGAAGGGGTGCTTTTACGGAATCCATTAAGTTCTGATCTGGGATCACTATTATATCTTTCGCAGACAGATTAAGAAAGACCAGAGTCACGGTGAAGCATCATATGTACATAACGAAAATAAGGAAACCCATTGTGCCCACTACAGAAGTGTATCCACAGCTTTATAGTATAGAGTAAATTGTTACCTAGTTTCCACTGATTTACTTATAATTTTACTCACAATTGCAAATATACTTCACCATATTAAAGAAATCAAAAAATTGGTTTAATATTTTGATAAGCAAATCATAAGTTTTATTTGTGTGTGTTCTGTAAAACTTAACTCACTATGGTAAAAATTGGTGTAATACCTTTAATTTACATTCTTAGGCTAAGTTAGGAATTAGTTTTGATTTTATAAAGAAGTTTAAATGTGGTGGTAGTTAAATAAAAGAAATATATATAAACACTTTTAGAGGGAATTTGATAAAGTCATATCATGAATAGTAATTGCTTAAATCTCGAAATGGATACCAACATCAGTCTTTATAAATATAAGCTATTACATTTTATGTGTATGTTGCTAAATATGTTGATATATTTATTCTTATTTTAAAATTCAACGGTAGCTGATTAAAGCTATATTATCAATCTAAAATATTTTTCTGGTTTTTCTGTATTGCTCTCTAATAAATTTGTTTGTATACTTATTATCAGCATTTACCAATCCCAAAAATATACATTTTTAGAATCTTGCTTAGACAGATAATAGTATGTTGCGTTGATTTAACTGTCAGTGCTTAATCCGACCTATTCAACAGCGGTTCTAAAAATGCGACTTGCTTGGCTGACTTTATTTTGGGTTTCTCTGAGCTGAGCTCAGTACCCAATTATTCCTGAAAATAATTGCGATGGTTTCTATCAATATGCCCCAGCAGCGTTTGATGGGCATTATATGGGCATTTTTACTGCACCCTTTATTTCAAATTTAAGTTTTCACTGGAAAGCGACATTTGTAATTAAAGGACATCGTGGGGTAAGAAGCTTTTTTGTTCAATTTGTGCTTAAATAACCATATGCAAATATTTTCTAGATCTTTGTTAGCCCCCTGATGCCGTATCCCAACGAAGAGGGTTCTGCATCTAGCATTTTAAGTAACAAGCAGGCTCAGGTATATGTAAACTTTGTGAATATCAACAACGAGCTGCCAAAACTGAAACTATTGACATTAAATGGATGGGAGCTTTGCAGTAATAAAGGATGTGAGTAAAAAGTTATGGTTTTTCTAGATTGCTTTCTGAACTAATTATTTGCAAATATTATTTTTCTCATCTGCGCAAAAGACGGTAATTATTCTACTACAATGACTGTAAAATACACAATGGATCAACATAAAATCGCACAATACCGGAATCTACCTATGGTTACGGAACCTCCCCGAATAAATAACCAAAATATTTCCATTATATCCATGGAATAATACGATTTCGTGGAATTCAACGGAACACTGATGTTGATAATAATAAATTATGTTGATAAAGAAAGCTGTTTTTTAAAGTAATAAAAGCTTTGTTGCTTGGGTTTTTTTCAAACTCTATGAAAAGTACTCATATGCATAAGGTAATTAATGGTTTTTAAAATGTATAATCTTTTATTTTATTTTTTTCAATCCGAAAATGGAAATGTCAGTAAATAATTATAACAACACCTTAGAAGTTCTGATTTTTTCTAAAGTTTTCTGAATGCTCAATAAACACATGTTATTAAAGCAAAGAAACCACCTTAAAATATTTTAAGAACTTGACTAAAATGGGAACACGTCTGGATCCTTTTTGAGTATTTTCTTGACGTTGCATGCGAATATTTGACAGCAAGTTAAATGGCCCCGTAGTGGAACTTTTCGTTGCTGCCAGAGCCTTGCTAATTTTGCCTGGCCCCAATAATCGGGGTGCTCAACTGGAGAGGGAAGGCAACTGATGGAGGGCATCGTTGAGAGAGTAAGCCCCTTGTACTTGGCACAACGGGATGGGATTACGATGGATCCTTGGGCCTTGCACCTCCTTCACAGCTCCTTTGCAGCTCCTTTCCTGCACCCAATAAACATGCATATTAATGGCCGTGAGTCCGGTGCCGGTGAACTCGTAGTCCGTGTGCCCATTTGCCTTGCAAAGCGATCAAATGAATCAACGATACTCGCAATTTCCGAGTCGACTCTTTATGCGAGTGCATCTCGGAATGCTGGAAATGAATCTGGAGCTGGAACTGGACCTGGACCTGGACCTGAATGACGATGACAATGGCAGCGGATGCAGCAGCTTACCCAGAAAGTACTCAAGGAGACGAGGAGCGGAATAAATGGAGCACACGAAAGGAGTCTCAAAGATGTCGCCTCAAATAACTGAAGATCCGGAAGATGTCATGAATTTATGGTTGTCGGTGGCAGCAGGAAAACAGAATTCCACCATTTCACTAAGCTATTAAAAGTACTGTGGGTCTGAGTAGTCTTTAAAAAAATAAATACTCTACCCCTCAACATTTTATCCGTTTAAATACTTTTATTGTAACCCTTTATTACTTAAATATAAGATACACCTTGATCATATATATCAGATCAAGATGTAGCTTATATTTATATTTAATTTTATTAACATTATTGAATATTATTATTCTTATAAAATATTATAATAACGATGGTATATAATTACAACTGATTATAAACTTAAGTAAGGTTTACCGTGGACTATCGATTACAAAACAGGTTCCTGTATAGACTTAAATACTGCCAAATTTGTAAAGTTTCAAGAACATAAGTATTACTACTTTTGCAAATTATTAGTTAAAAAATTTTTTTATATGAAATAAGAACAAATATATTTATTTATACATATTTATTTTACTTTTGTAAAAGTAAAGGTATGACAAAATAACCTAACTCTGGTGTAAAAAACTTATAGCACATATTAGGAGCCTGTCTAACCTTTAAAAAAAGTCGACTTTTATTTTTTTATTTTTAGTTAGAAAAAACAAATTTATAAAATAACAATAAAACAAACATTTTTATGACAAATTATGTACCTTGAATCATCCTAAACACTATATTTGGATAAGTATGGAGCTTTTCAGTGCAAATTTTCAGTATACCTCTGCACACTCGAAGCACTTGTCGTTTCCAGGATCTGTCTTAATCCTTGAGAGCATTGCACTGAACCGATGAAATCATTATCAAGGCTAATGGCCATACCCAATACCAATCCCACTAATGAAAGCCGCTCAATGCTCCTACCCCAGAAGCCAATTAAAAATGAAACAAACGAGTATAAGGATTACATTTCTGTGACAATAAATCCACTTGGCTTATTTGCCGTTTGATGGAGTCGAAAAATGTATCTGAAGTGGGTCACAAGGAGTTGTTCGAATAAAAAGGAATTTGGTTCGTCTGCCAACATGTTGCGCCTGCTGAGCGGCTTTAAATGTTTTTATGTCTCGTTTGGTTGTTTTTGTTTACTTGCAGGCCCGACAGGAAATAAAATAAAATAAGCAACTGACAGGCATTTCGTTGGGAAAAAAGCAGGAACAAAGGGCAGATAAAATAAGACGACTAAATAAAAATAAAATCAAAATACATGTACGGTGGGCGTAGCGAGCATAAATCTCATCAATCAAATGGAATTGTGCGCATAAAGTTATCGGCTCAACTTACAGCAGATAACTCAGCTCGAACCCCCCGCTTTTCCTTTCCTCGTCCACTGGGGCAATTTGAGTTTATTGTTTCAATCTGTTGAGGCAACCCCAGGGTCTGGGTCTGAAGAGCGAGCCACAGCTAAAGGATCCCCTTCACTTGTTGGGTACACTTGGAGAAAATGGGCAGTACTTCTTATAACCAACAGAAATTTTAATAAGTTTTTTATCCCTCACCTAAGAAATGTCAAAAAACCTAAACTTATCATTATGATTATCATTATCATCATTTTTATTGGTAACTTATATTGTATTATGCTAGTATAATATCTTAAAATTCTAACATCATGATTATTATAATACTACATAGTCCTAACATTTTCAAGACAATTAAATCTAATCATTATATTATAAGTATTATTATAATACTACATAGTCCTAACATTTACATGACAACTAAAGAAATAATATATTTGCGCGTACTTTTTGTTCAAAATGATAAATAATATATTTTGATTTAGAGCATTTAAGTAGTTTTAGTTCTTTAATATTTAGGAAGTATTTTTGTGGAAAAAATTGCTTATATTTCGTATGTTTATAGTTTGCAAATATTTACCAAGGCAGAATCAAATACTAAAGTGCCTATTTCAATCAACAAACTATGCGATTAGATAAATGTTTTAAATAAGTGTCTATTATATATAATATCAAGTTGAGGCGTACTTCACAAAGTGCAGACAAACTCGTTATGAAAATCACCTCATGAACTGAACTCCAAATCGTTAAAAAAAATTGGTACCCATTAAATTTCTCAGGCTGTATTTTTCCAGACCGCATTAGGCACACAAATCAAGCCTTCGCTCGAGGGCGAGTTTGAATTGTGGGTCCTCCTTTTCGATTTGGTCACGGTTTTGGTTCAGGCTTTCGCCTCTGGTTAGTTTCCAGCATTGTTTGTTTTTATTTTGCTTTTTAGGAGCTGCCTTCGCTCCTAGGATTTCCACACTTTTCTGCTGTTGTTGTTGAAAAGGAAATCCGATTTATTTGCATTTGCTTTGAGTGGCGAGTCTGCATTCTGCCTATAATTCTTGGATTTTCCTGGTGTTATTTTCCTTTTGTTAAATGTTTTTGGTTTCGTGGCTTTCCCGACTTTAACTGAGCTTTATTCAGTCTTAAATACGAAGACTTAACCAAAGGGTCTTTTGGGGTATAATATGCGATGACATTAAAGCCGACCCAATTAAGTTGCCTAATTATTTATGGCAGCAATTGCCTTTGGGGCATTTTGCAAGCAAGTTGGGCAAACAAAATGAAGGGCAAACAGTTGTCCCGTTCCGTTTCCGTTTCCGCCCTCCGGCCATATTGATTAGGTGCGTAAATATGGCCAAAATGGCGGCATATTCCTGTTTCTGTCAATTGCGATTCGACATTGATGGGCCCAAAAGCCTCCGTTGAGCCGCACAGTGAAGCAGCCTCTTGGGATTACCCGGGGAATCGGAGTGTGTATTCAAAGGATTATTCAATTGGTTCTGCAATTAGCGATATTACGTGAGTAAGGTTGATATGGCCAAGCACACTGAGGGTCCTAAAATGGTGCACTGAAGTTTTGTTTAAAAATGTAAACAGCTATAAGATATAAATGGCTACTTAATAACCTCTTCACATCTTTAAATGTTGTATCCTTTCCAAAAATATTGTAAATGAACGAATTATTTGGTGTTTTAATATGTAAACGACACATATAATTAAAATTGTTATATTCAATATTTTGTTTTTAGTAAATTGTATTTTAATTCAAATAAAAAAATCCTAGGATATATATAAGAACCGAAGGGATTATATTTTTTAATGAAAATAATATGAATTTTTGTTTAATAACAGTATTCATTTTAATCATTTTCTATATGAAGGGACCGTTATAATTATAATTTTTAAAATAAAGAAAGAATTTTTTGATTATTTTCGAAATATATTAAATAAATAAGTTTTAATTCCATGCAAATAACGATATAATGATGTATCTAGTTATATTTAGCACCAAAATCACTGTGACTTTTTTTCCCAATAAATTCGTTAAAACTGAACAGAAACTATTTCGCGGGACGTCAAGTGCAGTTTGTGCTGAAGGCAACCGCAGCAAAGGTTTTCCTGGGTTTTCCGCCAAAGTGGCCGAGAGTTTTCCGCGCTGCGCTGGTGGTAATAAAACGTTTAACGCAGTTAACTTGCCGCACAGTGGGTGGTCGCAAAAAGGGGCAAGCGGGAAAAGCGGGGAAAAGCGCAAACTTTGTTGTTATTGTTGCTGTCGATATTTGAAAAGTTGCTTGCTAATTTCGCTTAAGGACTTTGAAAACTGAAATTCGCCATAATTAACTGAAACGTTTGCATTTTAATAGACTTTGCATAAATTGTGCGTTAAGTTTTGTGCAAACCGAAACGAAACGAAACATCAGGGGGCAAATTGAAGGTGCTGGGCTAGGGCAACGTTATGAATAAAGTTTCAAACCCAGGGAAAGTTATGTCATAATCGATAAGTTGAGTTGTGAATGGGGCATTCTGCGGATGTGGATGGGGATGTGGCAGTGATTGTGGAGTGGCAGTGGCGCATCGAGTATACGCAACGTTGGCCAGCTCAAGAGTGCGTGTTCCTGTGTGTGCAGCAAAGCATGACTAATGACAACTTTGGCCAGAGCCATGTACACGCCAGTATATATCATTTCGTTTAGCAAATAACAAATATCACTGCCCAGGAACAGGAAATGGGAGGTGGGAAAGAGAGGGGCAGACAGGGCCAGAACGAGAGGCAAATAAAGATAAATAGTGTTTGGAAATGTTTCTGCCCCCTCTGCTGT